TTTCTTTCTTTCTTTCTTTCTTTCTTTCTTTCTTTCTTTCTTTCTTTCTTTTTCTTTCTTTCCAGATACCTAGTCAGAAAGAAGAACTAAAGTATATGTTGGAGTGGTCTGAACAATATTCTTATGCTTTTCCAAGATGGTTCGGGATATTTTTTTCTTCTGTAATTGTCACTCACCCAGAATATGTTAAAACTTTGTTTGCCAGAGGAGGTAAATCCATGCCAGTTAGAACAATGACTATTTCCCATGCAGTTATGCATATAGAGAGATTTACTAGAGAATAGTATCCAGGCTCTGTTGGATTCTATCAGAGCTTCAGTACCTTTCAGCTTCTTCTATAAAGTTTATATTGATAGTAATATAAGATGATGCTAAAAAAGACAAAAGTGAGTTACCTTCCTGTATATATTTGGCAATCACTTTATACACTTAGTTAAGAACTCTTTTAAACCTCGTAATCATTAAAGTATTCTCTTCTCTACTGCAGCTTAAAAGACCAACTTCAGAAGAGTAAAAAATAGTGTTATCAAAACTGAATGATTTCCATTAAACTTCGCTAAACTCTTCCTTGCAAACATGTATAAAGTTGTACTGTACATTTGTATCATTTTTCTTTTGTTGTGATCCAATGGTTAATGTGTATGTGTATGTGTATGTATGTATCAGTAGTGAGATACAACCTCTACGCCCCTGTACGGGCGTACCGGTGCCTGCCGGGAGCACCAGGTACTGTTCCGGTACAGTGCTCTGGAGGGCCACCTGCCTGCCCAGTTCCTTACTGGTATTTTAGCTCTTCGGTGCTTCCGTGCATGTGCACAGAGTGTAAGGCGCCTGCGTGATGCTCCACCGAGCAGCTGGAGCATTGCGGAGGTGTCATGGAGGCATCACGGAGCATCGCAGGAGTAAGGACGCATGCACACGCTGCACGCATATGCATGTGTGCTGTGCGCATTCATGTGGCGGACGCTGGGCCCCGTTGCACTGTACCAATTGCAACAGGATCCGGAACCCACTACAGGTATGTATGTACATACATACATACTGTATCTTACATGTTAGAATTACTGTTTCTCTCATATTTGTTTAATGAAAGAAAGATGCAGTAAACTTCCAATGTGGACTTTCTCTATGCCAAATACATTAATTATTTCAGTATATATTTAGAATTGTGTTATAACTTTGTTCTGTTCTTCTTTGAATTTTCTAGATCCAAAGCCTGAATTCATCTATGCACCTTTGATTCCTTGGATCGGTATGTGTAAAAATTAAAATCAGTTATAAGTATTTTTTCTATTTCCCCTTTTTTTAAAAACAGTTCAATTGATCATTTAAATGTTGTTATGTTGCTTGTTTTAGTGTAGCTTTTTAATGTTAATTTGATCTTCTCCGGTCTTCTGCAGATTGGTTGTATATAATGGGACCAAAATCTGGAACTATATTCAGAACCACACCCGAAAGTTATCAAGTTGCGGAGGCTTGATTTAATTTACAAGAATTTCAATTTGATCAAACAGTCTGATCATCACATCTACACTTTAATGAATGAAATGATGTATTAAGGAAGGTCACCCAATGGCTTCTGTGCCTAATGGAGGACTAGAACCAATAAAGTAATACCTTCTCAGCCCAAATCAGTATCAGATACTTCAAACAGTTTGTCCTACTATGTAATGATAGCTTTGTTATATGAATTGCAGTTGTTATAACAATACAAAACAAGCTCACCCTGCAAGTGGGACAACGCCAGGAAGAAAAACAACAGAGTATAGAATAACAGAATAACAGAGTTGGAAGGGACCTTAGAGGTCTTCTAGTCCAAGCCCCATTGGAGTGCCATTTCAGACAAGTGGTTGTCCAATCTCTTCTTAAAAAATCTCCAGGGTTGGAGAATCCACGACTTCTGGAAGCAAATCCTTCCACTGATTAATTGTTCCAATTGTCAGGAAATTTTGACTTAGTTCTAGCTTGGTTCTCTCCTTGATTAGTTTCCATCCATTGCCTTCAGATGCTTTGAAGAATAGGTTGACCTCCTCTTCTTTGCGACAGCTCTGAGATATTGGAACACTGCCATCATGTCATCCCTAATTCTTCTTTTCATTAAACTAGACATACCAATTCCTGCAACCGTTCTTCATATGTTTTAGCTCCAGTCTCCTAATTATCTTTCCTGCTCTTTTCTACACTCTGTCGAGAGTCTCAACATCGTTTTTATATCATGGCAACTAAAATTGGTTTCATATTCCAAGTGTGGCCTTACCAAGGCATTATAAATGGGTATTTAACACTTCATGTGATCTTGATTCTATCCCTCTGTTAATGCAGCCTAGGACTGTGTTGGCTTTTTGGCAGCTGCTGCACACTGCTGCCTCATATTTATATATATGGATAAAGAAGGGATAATTTAAAAAATAACTTTCCTCTTTAATTAGCATGAAGTGCTGTGGATGAAAGCCAACTCAGATAAATTTTAAACCAACTATCCATTTGTATTCCTATGCAATTTTCCATGGAGTAAGTATTCTTATATAATCTGCTACATAGAAATAAAAAAGCTCATACTGCATGAATAAAAGCAATTTCTTCAATTCAAAAGCTTCAATATCTGATTCCCCTAACATTCAAAGAATGGATGAAAAGCTACAAAGAGAAGAAAAGGTAAAGTTTACCTATGTTTCAGTTGAATAAGCAAAAGAGAGATAAAGAAATAATATTCCTTTCAGAAATTCTAAGACAACTTGAAATGATATGCAACAGTCCTTGAGCTCTGTGCTTGAAATATGCCCATCACTGTGTCAAATGAATATCAAAAGAAGCAATTCTGGTTGGTCCGGACCCATTTTTAAAACCCTGCTGTCATTTCTGATGAGTTTTATTTTATGGGATTTTGAAAGATGGGCCTGGACACTGCAGGTGCATTGACTCTGTCTTAGCACTTTCAAATGTCTCCAGCATGAGATTAATTGCCTATCAAATTCTGAGTGCAAACAATCTCTTAGCTCAGTCAGAGCAGATGGAATAATATCATCATAATTATCACCACCACCACCACTACCACTTCATTCAATGTAATTTATCTTTTTCTTTTTGTACCTCTAGGAAAAGGACTGCTTGTCTTAGGTGGCACAAAATGGCATCAGCACAGACGGTTGTTAACACCAGCTTTTCACTATAATATTTTGAAGCCCTATGTGGCATTAGTTGCAGATTCCACCAAAATTATGCTGGTAAGGAAAGTCTTTTTTCTCCGAGGTTATACAAGCAGATGCAAATGGGACCATTGCCGCCCTGAGTCTCTCGGGAATAGGGCGGCATACAAATGGAATAAACATTTCAAACATTTCATTTCATTGTAAACTGAGCAGGACCATTCTTAGCTAGCTCTTGGATAGGCAACCATCAGAATTTCTAGGACTGTAAAATACAGGTAGTCCTTACATTTCATTTAGAGACCATTCAAAGTTACAACAGCACTGAAAAAAGTGACTTATGACAGTTTTCACACTTATGACCACTGCAGCATGTAATCAAAATCCAGATGCTTGGCAACTGACTTATATTTATGTTGGTTGCAGCATCCTGGGGTCTTATGATCATCTTTTGTGACCTTATGCCAAGCAAAGTCAACAGGGAGGCCAGATTCACTTACTAGCCATGTTACTAACAACTGCAGTCATTTACTTAACAACTGTGCAAGAAAGATCTTAAAATAGGGCAAAACTCATGAAAGCACTGTCTCGCTTAGCAACATATATTTTGGGCTCAATTGTAGTTGTAAGTCAACGACTACTTATAAACTAGTCCAGAACAATTCCAGAAAATGAGAATGGGAAATCTCTTCCATGTTGTTGCTAAGTAAATAATATGGACATAGCTGTGTCTGAAGCTGAGCTGAACTCAATGGTACATTGTACAGCAGTTCACCAAAATGGCATATGGCATGGGAATTCGATAAACAGCTGATACAGTTCTATTTTCCCCACTAGGATAAATGGGAGAAACTGATTGCAAAGGAGCCCATGAAGTCTTTGGAGATGTTTGACCATATTAGTTTAATGACTCTTGACAGCATCATGAAATGTGCATTCAGTCACAAGAGCAATTGCCAAACTAACAGGTTAAAACTTTTATAATAGTACATTCTAATAATATGAGTATTGGAGAATGTTGCTCATATTTGTGTAGCACGTGTTTTTTTTTTTGTTTTTTTTTGTAAACAAAATGCTTTTTTCCCTTCCATTAGAGACCTGGATTATTATGTCCAAGCTGTGTCAGACTTAACTTTCCTGTTGTTTCGGAGAATTACCTCTACTATACTTCGGAGTGATTTCCTATATTCATGTACCTCATCAGGACAGTGTTTTAAACAGGCTTGTAAATTGGCACACCAGCATACAGGTAACTCTCGTGTTCTTTGGTAAAATTAAATTAAAATTACTATGAGCTCCCAGGTTATATGAAGACGGAGGAAGAGTGGCTGTAGCCTAAGGTCATCTTTGGTGGACTGTTTCACTAATTGAAAGCAAACATGTTGAAACCACTTGGAGGGAAACTAATGCCATTATATAAGAGCTATTATATGACAAGTAGAAATGTTTTCAAAACATTGTTTTATTTGGCAGCAAAATAGTTCAATCTTCACTCAAAAGTTAATGACCTGTATAGATTGTGGTATGATGCTTAAAACAGCATATATTAATTTTTCACTTAGTTCATAGCCTTATCCTTTACATGTCATCTTGAAGTTCCATAGACTTCAATAAGGCTTATTATAATATAAGCAATGTTTTCTGATTCTTCTAATTATGGGAATAAGCATCATTATGGCCTTGAGATATGTCAGTGAAATCCTTGATCTGCCAACACACAATGACTTTTATTCATCACTACTCAAAATTGAATAGCATCAGAAAGACACTGTTGAATTTACTTGGAGCCTAATAAGGGATTTTGGTGTATACTTATTTGATTATGAATAGTTCTTAGCTTGCATATTGCAAATTTTTTTTATAATAAAAGGAATCAAATTAATCTCTCAGAGCTCTTTTTTCCAACATGATAAAACAAGGCAAGCACAGTGAATTTCTCATTCTTGGCATTAACTCCTCTTGTATTAACTTCATAGAAAAAGTAATTGAAGAGAGAAAGAAATCACTGCATAATGAAAGAGAGCTTGAAAAGATGCAAAAGAAGCGACATTTGGATTTTTTGGACATTCTTCTTTGTGCCAAAGTAAGAAACTAGAGGAAAAAATTTTTAACAGCCTCTTGTCTCACACTGTTATGAAAGTTATTAAAACACAAAATGAAATATTGTATTGTTACAATTGTTAAGTAGAACAACCTGGACATAAAATTGATGTGCTAATGAAAAACTGGTAAATCGGAATAGGTATTATAATAAACAGCCCAATTAATTTGAATCTTTGTTACTGACTTATTTGCAATGTCTGTAAAAAAAAACAGATGAGAAAGTCAACAGTGCCAGAGAAAAATACACTTAAAGCAACCTATATTTTAAAAAGCTTGCAATTTTTATACTAGAGATAGGAATTTTCTCTATCAAATGGTTGCTGACTCAAAGCATTTGCACAAATAAATTGTGGAACAAATGAGGCTGCCAGGTCAGGGAGTCAATATTCTCCTTAAAAGTTGCAGAGAGGGGAAATTTCATCAGATCTGTTATTGCAGCACCTAAGAGGAGCAAAGTCTATATGGTAATTCTGTTTTTTTGTTTCTATTATTGGACAAAATGTTCAAGGCTATAAAGAGGAAAGCTTCCCTGTTTTCCCTTTTATATCACTTTCCCATGCAGATGCAATGGGAAAACAGAAACAATTCTCATTTCCTTTAGCGAGGCAACACTGGGAAATTTGCTAACCAGGGTTAAAGGCAGGGGTGGGTTGACTCAGCCTTCCATCCTTCCGAGGTGGGTAAAATGAGGACCCAGATTGTTGGGGGCAATATGCTGACTCTCTGTAAACCGCTTAGAGAGG